TCAAGTAGCATTCAAGGATTTGAGCAAGATGATTCAACACTTTATACACTAATTCAAGTCATTGATGCAAGTGTAAGTGGAGAACTTGCCATCGAGTGCAAGAAGTAAGGGAGTTTCGAAGCTGTTCTTGTTTCAATTCTTTATGTCGTCTTATTTAGTTTGGTTTCTAGCGTGCTAATCATTAATTAGGAGTTAGTTTAAGAGCTAACTTAGTCATCTGAATCAGGAAATAAAGTCCAAGTCATGTTAACCAAGACTATAGTTGAATTAGAGTTTTTAGGAAAGTGGCAAGTTGTTTCCAAATTTGAGTATGTTTCTTGTGTCTTGTAAAAGTTTATAAATATAGCCTTAGTCACATTATTTTGAGCATAATAATATCAGAGAAATTTCCTACAAAATTCGTGAGTTTGCCACTCTGTCTTGTCCAAGAGATCTTTACTTGAATGCTTGAAAATTGTTCTTGAATGTTCATGACTTATCAAGTAATAAATTACAATTGGTTGTGGCGTCATCTATGAACATTCTTGGTTCGCTATTCCATTTAGTTGTGGATTGAGATTAAGTTCAATAGGTTCACAACTACGTGAGTTAGAAGGGTCAAGAATTTCCGTAACTCCAACTTGATTCTTCATTTAGATCCAGGCTTTATGGAATACAAGTTCAGACCATCTTGGTGCGTTTGTATCAATTGTACTCCTCATCCCCTTCAGCTACTCTCTGATGATGAAAGCTGGAAGCTACGACAGCAGAGGTTGTTTGGATTGTCCTAATGAACTCATGGTAGTTGGAAAGCAAATTGTCGAAGGTTGTAAAAGGACTCCCTCTTGCTGTTGTTGCAGTATCTAGTCTCCTTGAAATGACTGAAATGATACAGGATAGGTGGAAACAAGTTTCAGAAAGTATTTGCTCACAGATTGACAATGATCTTGAAATGAGATGCATGGACATCCTAGTGCTAAGCTACAGGTATTTTCGCAACTATTTGAAACCTTGCTTTCTTTATATTGCAAATTTTTTTGGAGGATAAACTATAAAGACATTCTAGTTAGGGAGTTGCATGGTTATGGAGAGTGGAAGGATTCAAACCAGATGCACGGGTAGAAAGCATAGAAGATATTGCAGAGAGGTACTTGAGGGATCTAATTGGAAGAAGCTTAGTAATGCCTTCCCAAAAGAAGAAGAAGAAGAAGAGCACTTAGACGAGTCAAAACATGTCATGTCCACATGACATTTTATGTACCTTATGTATCTGAAAATCTGAAGAGAAAACCTATTGCAGTTCCAAAATGGGTATGATGAGCTTATTGGTTTTTCTCATGAGGATATAGACTATGTTGTTGATCCCAATTATATTTAGATTAATCTTTTCTACACTAGTGGTGCATACACTGTCAGCGTTGAATAAATAATTATTATACAAATTTTAAATTTGAAATTTAACATTTGCACATACATCATGGATCCAACGGTATACTGTTAGTATATATAAGATTTACTCATTATATTTACCCCAAAAACTCTTAAGAATTGGATTTATGTGTTATATGTAGGTGTGTTTATCATTATCATCGTCATTACTATTATAACAGTATCGTGAGTCGTGATAACTTTGAGTGTAAGCATTTTTGTCGTCTTAGTTTTAATTTGTTATTCCAATTATATCCTTATTATTGATTATTGAAGTTCCGTATTATTCTTCTAGTAAATTATTATGATAATTGAAATTCATTATATCATATATATTTATTAAAAACAAATAATGATTGATGACATGACAAAATGGTAGCATTAGAGTCCCTAATAATTAGATTCATTGCACTCTAATAATATCAATAAGTGAAGCAACATGAAAAGAACGCTGTAAATTTAATTGAACTCTAATTATGAAGGCAATAAGCAAAATATAATACTTCAATCTAATCCGTCAAGCTGCACTCTATTTTTAATTTTTATTTCAATTTAAAGTTATTGATTAATCACAATCTAATTCAATATTTAAATTGTCAAACATATTGCTAATTGATACCAAAATAAGGTGCTCTTAGGAGAATGGAATCTTTGTCATTTGTGCCTTTTCAGATTTTGCTCAAAAAATAAAAAATGAAAAAACAGAAAAAGTCAACCTCTACCAATGAAATTTTCATTTGTCAAAAAATGAACAGTGGGATGGAAACAATTTATATCTAGTGTATTATTCACACTCTATTATTAACAAAAATAGCATACAAAATAATACTAAGAATTCAACTTCAAAAACTCTACATCTCTTTATATTTCAAAAACAGAGCATTTAACTTAATATTTAGGAATTTCATCAAAATACTAACAAAAAACAGTTTAACTCATGTAACTTAAAAATAATAATGTAGATCATGCAAATGATATTGATGTAAACAATTAACTTTTGCTTAGCTTGAAACTTCAAGTCATTGAACTCCAATGAAAAATAAAAATTGTTCAGATATCTAATTAAAAAACAAACTATTCTAATGATATTATCATCATTTTTTTGTCATGAAAAAACAAAAGAAGTAATTATAAGTATCAATATTGTAATTATACCATTTAGAATATATTTTGTCAAATCCTTTTATATTTGATCAAATCTTTTTCTTTTTTCTTTATTGTGGAAATTTGTTAATTTCAGTTGAAAGTCCGTCATGAGTTCTTTTGCTTCAAAAACAGACATATTTGTACTCTAACTAATTAATAATTTTGGCATGACTATGTGAGAAATCAAACAAATGAAATTTAGGGTATGCTGGAGGGGATATTAAGGGTGAAAAAATAGCACAACAAATATCCTAAAACATTAAAAATAAAATAAGCAAATACATGGATCGTGATGCCCCTCCAGATTTTGATATTTTAGCTTTAACTTTTACTTTATTAGTACAATATTTGTGTTTTGTTGCTCCCATGCTTGATAGACACACACACATACATATTTTCTCGACTACAAAAATTTTTTTTGTGTATAAAAAACTTTAATATTATGATTTAAGTTTAACAAGATTACCAGTGTAACATTAGTAAAACTTCTTGAAAGCTAAAAAACAAAGTTCACAAATCTATAAATTCAAATAAAATCCCCAAAGAAATCTTAACAAATGAGAAATACGACGGGTCTTTTTCAATTTAAAATAACGGTTATAAGGGCAATTGGTTAAAGAAGATGAAAAATTAAGAAAAAAAAAAAAAAAAAAAGGAAGATGGAAAAACGTGTGCCCGCGCGCGCCTGCTGTGCGAACCGTGTTACATTTTCATGCAATTTAATCACGTAAATCGCGGAAGGTTCATATGCAACTCTAGCTTTAACGGAATCAAAATCTCTAACAACTTAGACCCAAAAATAGGAGAATAACAAATAATAAATTTTTTTAAAGGAGAACGCAGGACAAGGGCTAGTTTTCCAGTCTTTCTCTGAGACAACATGCTCGAACTTGTTGACAAAACCACCTCAGTAATTAAGGATGAATGGAAGTTTCCTTCCTCCTCCTTACACCATCAATTTCACAGTTAATTCCAAACAATTTTGCGTGTGGAATACGAGTTAGAAATTCTTGGGTTGTTTCCTAGAAGCTTTTTATTTGTTTATAGGTCGGTCAATGCCTAAAAGACTTCCAGTTGTTCATTTAAAGCGTTGTACTGGCAGACTTGCCGTAGTCAAGACTCAACCAAAAAAAAAAAAAAAAAAAATTAGTGAGACAGATGGGATGACGAACTTGAGTCCTGAATATGGATTTAGACGCAAGGATACTGGACCGAAGACACCCAAGCGAACGGCCCCCGGGGGAGGGGGATGTAGGAGAGCAGGAGTAGTGATGTTAACATGCGTAGTTAAATAAGGGTGTAAACGAGTCTAAATAAACCAAACACCTAAATATTCAAATTTGTTTGATTATTTTGATAAATTTAAAATTTTTTAAAATTTGACATATTTATTTCTCGAGTCGAGTTTGAACGTGTTTACTAAATCAAATTAGAGTCGAGTTCAAGTAATTTGAATTTTTTAAATGTAAATCTTATTTGTATTCTAAGTGAGCCAAACTTGAAAGTTTATCAAATATAAATTGCTGTTCAAACTTGATTTTGATTAGTTGAAGAACCAAATTTAAATGAACTTTTATTGACGCGAATTTGATTCTAGTATTAAGTAGATTGATTCATCTTTCATCGATGGCATTCATTAGATATACAAGAGTTGCGAGAATGTTTACCATATAGCATTTATGAGTTACTTCCAAATTGAGTCTCCTATTAAGTCTAGAGGTACGCATCAACAACATACATTTCTAATTAGCTATAAATGTTGGTTTTAAATGTTTAGGAAGGGAATTTCTAAAATGTATTTTTTTATTAATTTTCTTGTTTTACACTTAAAATATCACATAAATGTAGAATGAATACTTAATTTTGAAATTTGGCTGATCAATATTGAAAATTAAATTAAATTAGGTAATTAAAAGGTGTGCACAATTTACCTACTAAGAGATTTTTCTTAAAACAATGATAAAATTTTAACAATGTAAAATATGATACTAGAACAGTTAATAAGAAGTAATGAACTAATAATGACTCAAAGTAAAAAATGTTCAAAGATGAATAAAAGTTTAAAATTTTCATAAGCCAAACGTTAGGCAGGCAATGAAATTTTGTCAAAATTTTGGCGGGTAAAGGAGAGATCCAACGAAAATTGTTAAAATTTAGTAGGGGCAGGGGCAAAGAAATCTCAGATCTTAACTTAGGGTGGTGGGCGCGGCTATTCCCTCCGCCACTGCACTTAGTCAATCGCTATTCAATTTTCTAAGGGTACGAATTTGGACCAGTTGTGGCAATCACCGGGAAAAATGAAGGTCGTGTATTCTCTTTCAATGACTTGTCCATACCAGAATGGCGTCCTGGTCGCGATAATTTACGGTCAGAACACGCATGTTTACATTTTTCTCGAAACATGTGTGAACTTGCATGATCTTAAACCTATATAATGGATGGATCGTTGGAGGCAACACAATCACCAAGAGGGATAGACATTCACAAAACCAAATAAGCTGTGGTAGTATATAGATAGATTCAGAACGTGAAAAGATGGTGAGTTTAAAATGGCTATTGTCATTCTTGGCATCCTCACTGTTGATGGTATCCTTATTCCAGTCCTCACAAGCTGCTGGAATTGCCGTCTACTGGGGTCAAAACGGCGGTGAAGGAAGCTTGGCCGACACATGCGCCAGTGGAAACTATCAGTTTGTGAACGTGGCATTTCTGTCGACCTTTGGCGGTGGGAGAACACCAGTATTGAACTTAGCAGGCCACTGCAACCCCGACGCAGGCACCTGCACCTCCTTAAGTGATGAAATAAAAGCTTGCCAGAACCAAAACATTAAAGTGCTGCTTTCCCTTGGAGGTGGGGCTGGAAGCTATGGCCTTACTTCTGCCGATGATGCAGGACAAGTTGCCAATTACCTATGGAACACCTTCTTGGGCGGTCAATCAGGTTCCCGCCCGCTTGGAGATGCTGTTTTAGACGGTATAGACTTTGATATTGAAACCGGGACAGGCCAGTATTGGGACGATCTGGCCAGGGCGCTCTCTGGTTTCAGCTCGCAGAAAAAGGTGTACTTATCTGCGGCTCCACAATGTCCATTTCCTGATGCTAATCTAAACACGGCCATCAGCACTGGCCTTTTCGATTACGTCTGGATACAATTTTATAACAATGGACAGTGTCAGTATGGGACTAATGCTGATAGCTTGATAGCGAGTTGGAATCAATGGACTTCAGTTCAGTCCAATCAGATCTTCCTAGGTGTACCAGCAGCTCCAGGGGCTGCCAATGGAGGGTTTATTCCATCAGATGTGCTCATTTCTCAGGTTCTACCATCCATCAAGTCGTCACCCAAGTACGGAGGGGTCATGATCTGGAACAAATTTTTTGACAACGGATACAGTTCAGCTATCAAGGGTAGTATCTAAATTTAGTGGCCTATGTCCAGATTCCAGAGTAACATCTCAGAGTATTCTCGTAATGTAATAAATAAAACTGCGTACTTGCAGGGGTAGGATATATATTAGTCTTCCACTCTGTCCAAATAATTTCCATTGTACCTCATCTAGAGATGTAACTCTGGTTTTTTTCTACCAGAAATAAAGAACTTATGAATGGAGATAATTATAGTTTTAAAATTCATGGTTGAGGCCAAAAAAAAAAAAAAATTTCAGGGTCATACGTTCGTTATGACATCTCCTTCATTTTTGATAACTTTGCACATTAAGAGTGCTAAATTTGGAATGCGTCAATATGGGGAATTCTTTCCCCACTGGAGTACTAGTGTTGGTTGGTCTGAGATTTTTAGCTCTGTGGCAATCCAGATAGTTTTCCAGCATCAGTATCCCATCTCAGGATCTTGAGAACTTGATTGTGAAGGGATTAAAAGATAAAGTTTTACTACCTTATACTCTTTGGAGCATGGAAAAGTTGAGACGTCCATGTTAATAATTATGCTGCCACCACCTTGCAAGATGGTTAAAGGACAATTTTTCCCCAAGTACTTAATCTGGTCAGTCTTTCCTCTTGATATCTCCTTTGTGGTGAAGGTACAGAGAATATCATGAGGAGGCTGCTCAAACTTTGAAAACTGAGATGTCTGTTTTCTGAAAACAAAGAAGTACAATCAGTTATACTGATTTTCTGACAGAGCTCGAGTCCTTCAATGTACTCTACTCGAGCAGGAATGCTTTTCCTTATAAATTTGACTTCCCATTGAATCTCAGGAAGTTAACTCTCCAAATTTCGCCTGCCCTGGGATTGTATTTTGGAGAAAATGTGGCTATTACCAGACTTTAAAATTAGCTAATACTTATGTGGAGAAAGTGTGGCTATTCCGTTTAGTGCACAGGTTGGATTGTTTTAAAATTAGCTGGCTATTACCAGATTTTGAGGTTCTCAAATTACTCTCTACCTGTGAGGAGAAAGAGTGGGAGATGAATGCTGGAGAGTTCCCTAACCTGTAATTTTTGAAGCTCAACAGCCGGAACATTGCTGAATGGAATGCCTCTAGTAATCACCTGCCACAGCTTCAACACTAATTTTGTGTAGTAGGCAGCTCAAGGAGGTCCCCAGTGGGTTTGGGGATAGCGCTACTCTGGAGATGATTTAGGTGAGCTCTCCTGAAGAATCTGTGAGAAGGCTTCAAGAGGATCAACTTGATATGAGGAATGAGATGAAGGTCCTTGTTGATCACTGAGACATGGATTTCTGATCACCTCCATAATTCCTAATAGAACTCTAGCTTGTCATTCTGTTTGCAGGTGAGTAAATTTAACTTTTTGTTCAGTCTGTATGTGTTATGTTTTGTTTACTTCCTCTATCACCAGTTTACTGGATCCTCAAATCATCATCAGTTTACTCTTGAATTATCACTCATAGGTTATGCATTTTCAGTTTAATTTTGCTCCAATAGAAGTACAGTTTCAAAGAGGTTTTGATCCTGTTAATTATTGGTAAAACTTTTGGATAACCTGCTAAAAGGAATTAATGCCAGCAGAAGAGAAGAATTGCACTAAATGCAATAAAGACAGATTTAAACACAAATTTTATTCTGGCCAAATGTTTCTTAGTTGCCAAATTTTGGAACTTAGGCCACAATTTGGACATTCTAAGCAGAACTGATATGCTTTTATGTTTCAGCTTGCTTGTGGAAAAGAGAAGCAAGCCTCTCAAGGTGAAGAAAATGGAAGTCTCAGCAGATATTGGAAAATGGGAATCTGGATGATCTTACATGACTGAGTTCTGAATTCTGACAAAGGTCACAACTTGGGAAATTTTATGTCTTACTGCTTCCACCAGATTACTAATACATGTTTGAAAGATTTTTTTTAGTTTCCCTTTTTTGAGAACTCTGACTCGATTCAATGCAACTTTACATGGCTTCAGCAGGAACAACTCGACATGGGGAATGAGCTGGAGGTCTATATTGATCGTTGAGACGTGGATTTCTGATCACCTGTGAAATTTCTGGTAGAACTTTAGCGTGTTATTCTATTTTCAGGTGAGTAAAATCAATCTTTTGCTATGATTCTGATCACCTCAGCTTTGTTAGACTTCTGGTCACCATTGGAACCAAGATTATACTGCTCCTGAATCATAACTTTCACAGGTTTCAAGTCTTGTATCATTTAAGTTCTGCTTATCTGCTTTTGCAAAGGTTCAACACTCGGTTATAAATATGACTTGCTTTCTGAATTTCCTCTTTTCTTCAGGAAAGCACTCTTTTGTTGATTGTGAGTTTCCCTTGTTTGATTAGTATGACTTGATCTATTGCAACTTCCTAGGGTTAATTACATCTTGTTTCATAACTATGACTTGATTCATGTATTAATATTTTCTTACACTAACAGTGTATACACTGTCGGTTTTAAATGAATGACAACTATGTAAAATTTAAATTTGAGCTCCAAGTTTTGCACGTGTTATGAATTCAATGGTGATAATATATACACTGTTAGTATATATAAGATCTTCTATTGATTTTTTATAACTTTCTGAAACCTCTTTCCTTTGAGCACACTTTGGGACTCACTAGCCACCCACTTATACATGAGCTATATTTCTATTGATGAGCGGAAATTTGGTTTTTACACTTTTTTCTTATTTGACTGCAAAGCACTTTAGTTTTCTTTTGGAGAGACAGATCCATTACTCCTATTGTGCCTTTCCAGTTATGCATATAGCTTGGACATGAGGCTGTAAGTTTGGAAGACAGAACTAAACTGTCCATGGAACAAAAACTTGTGTATTTAATATATATGAAAGTGTTGATGAAGCCTTTGCTTTATGGTGGAGTTTAGGAATTAGAGGTTTTGAGAGTCAAGTCTCACTCAATGCTGAGTTTATTCAAATTAAATGTTATTTTTTCTAATTGGTCATTTTTTGTAATATTTTTGAATTATAATATGTATGAATTTTTCCTGCCACCATTGTAGGTAAATTGTAATCAAATTAAATAAAAAACATATATAAGGACCACTTCACGTGATTACAATTATAAAAGGTTGCAGAATAAGATCATAACAAAGAAGTATAATAATTTTTATAGACGTGGTGGACAACTCCGCCATTAATTTGTCATTGTCACCATGCCCTTGGCACTCTAAGCATGTGGTTTGAACGTGTTTTTCGCAATCAAAAAATTAGGCCAAAAGTCCCCAAGACCCAATTCAATCAATAGAGAGGTTAATTAAATCACACACAGTCTCTGGCTTGAGTTTGAAGCCATTTCCTTTCGTCTCCCCCTGTAAAGCTTGAAGTCTCCACTGCACCCAAAAATAATAAAATGCTAAATTTTAATTCCAAAGAAATTGATGCATTTCTATATTCGAATTCTTACGCCTTGTTTGAAAAGCCATTTTCATCAAAAAAAATTCTATATTTTTTACGAGCACATTTTCCAATCATCTTTTTACCTCGCATATATCAAATCATTACAGTACATTTTCTACAAAAACCCTAGAAAATTGCAATCCAAATAGGACATTGTTTTGAATGTGAAGGATTTAGGTGAAAAAAATGTCAAGATGTAAGAGGCCGTTTCTACCATTAATTGGAAACTAGATAAACTCTATTACAATCATAGACTGCACCTGGTGTTTCAGTGTGGTTTCCAAAATTATTTTCTAACAGCAATTTATTTACATCCATGATGATGTTAGGTTCTGTGTAACAGGAAAATAAAATTCAAAGAACACCAATAATGACGACCAAAACGAAAATTAGAATTTTGCTCTCCATTTCGCATTCCAAGGGCCCGATTTGCAAAACTTATGTTCAAAGTAACATAGAAAAGACCTTTCTGTTGTACTAAACTAATTAAATATGCATTTTTCTTATAGTTGGTTGTTGGCCACTAAGCTGTGATAGTTTGCTGCCTGCAAAATCACAGGGGACAGAACAAACCAGAAAAACGTGGTGTCCCTGTATTTGATGGGCAGAAGGAGAATTAGTCAGCACATGGTTAAAATGTTCCTAGGACGGCTAACATTGCCGACAGAACTAAATGCAGGATTCTTTGGTATGGTCATCAATTCATCCTTTCAGACTGAGGTCGGCAATGGGAAGAAGTGGGTGACAAGGTGGCCCTCAATTTGATGACACATTTATCAAAATCATATCAAGGAGGAGTTAAATGAGCATGATGCACATCTAGTAAAGGGGATTAACATCTATATATTGTAGTGGCTTATTACCTTGTTTTGTGCACAAATTGATCTGGGATATTGTAAAAAAGAATATAGATTAAAGAAAAGGAAATGGCCATCACCGAATTGAATAAAAGCCAGTCAAGGAATGAAGCACAAGGAGAGCAGCAGCAGCTCAGCGAAGAATGCCAGGAGTTGCTGAATACTCTTCCTAAAGAACGAGGATGGAGGACACAGCATCTCTATCTTTTCCAAGGATTTTGGTGCCAACCAAAAGAGATTCAGGCCATAATGTCTGTCCAGAGAAACTTCATAGCTCAAGACAGCGATGTTGTGCTTGCCACCATACCAAAATCTGGCACCACTTGGTTAAAAGCAATTGCTTTTACCATTATGAATCGAAAGAATATTCCTGTCCAAAATGACAATCATCCATTGCTCACCTCCAATCCGCATGAGCTCGTCCCTTTTCTTGAATATAAACTTTATGCGGACAACTGCATTCCAGATTTCTCGACGATTCCATGCCCGAGACTTTTGGCAACCCACATGCCCTTTTCTGCTTTGCCCCAGTCGGTCAAAGAATCTGGTTGTCGAGTGGTTTACCTTGCACGGAATCCATTTGACACATTTGTTTCCATATGGCATTTCATGGAGAAACTAAGACCGGAATCTTTTGGTTGCCTATCCTTTGAAGAAGCATTTGATATGTATTGCAGCGGAGTTGTAGGGTTTGGTCCCTATTGGGACCATTTGCTGGGGTACTGGAATGAGAGTTTGCAAAGGACCCAAAAGGTGTTGTTTCTCAAGTATGAGGAAATGAAGGAAGATACTAATTCTCAGTTGAAGAAGTTGGCTGAGTTCTTAGGACTCCCTTTCTCAATTGAAGAAGAAAAAGGAGGAGTTGTTGATGAGATATCAAGGCTGTGTAGCTTCCAAACCCTGAAAGATATGGAAGTGAACAAAAATGGAAAAGGGGCTATCTTTGCTGATTCTGAAAACAAGGATTTGTTTAGGAAAGGTGTGGTAGGAGACTGGATCAATCATATGACCCCATCGATGGTTGACCGGCTACGCAATATTATGGACAAAAAACTGAGTGGCTCAAATCTATCATTTCAACTGCTCTAAGCACAAAGACAGAAAGTATTCGAGTGTGCATGTGATATTAGATCTCTTTGATCTGACAAGGAACAGAAGATACTGAAGCACTTGTGAATTTTCTCCAGGAGTCTAGGAACAAAAAAAACAGAATCTACGTGTGGTTATTTCCTTTTTAATTCTTCCCTTATTATTGTTAGTACATAGATTTCTAGCACCATTACAAAGACGCCGTAAGGTCTCAGACATGAAATTCTCTGAGCAAAAGAAAACTGAAACTCAATAGATTGGTGTCATTGTACTTGAAGGTCTGAAAGTCTTGTGAATTCCACTGAATAATCCATAAAGCAGATGAAATGTTATATGACTTTCTATTAACTCTTGTTACATACTTGAGGGAATCATAGAGGGTGCAATTAGGGCAACTGTCTAAATTTTACCTGGAACTGGATATCTAACAAATGCCACAACAAGCTAAGTCAAGGCAGTGCTCCATATTTTCTACTTTCTCTCCCTTTCTCTGTTTTTAAATCACAGTCAAACCGAAGAAAGGATTGCCACTTCCTACAAATATTTTACAGAAATCAAACAAGCCACAGATGAAAGCTCTGAGAATAATTGTACGTATAAAATACAGGAGTATCCTGTCATAAAAATGAATAAATCTTTAGCTACAACATCAGCGCTTACAAGATATATTCTTCATGCATAATTTCAGATATACTGGTATCCAGCTATGTATTGTCTATGGACCATTTCAAAGAGTTGATTGTCTCTATAATTCTATGATTACAACTTCAGTGCCTCCAACACAAGTTTCTTAGCGATTTTTCCTGTATTCGTAATATTTTCCTTGGATTCTAAAGCGAAAGAAAAACTGAAAATTTTGTTATTTGTTATTACCAGATGTGATGCAATATTACAAGATCTGCTAAAATGACCTATCAATTACTAAAGTTAAAGGGCAAAGTTTAAGGCTGCATATTATTTGTTATTCTAAGAGCCAAGACATTAGAAAATATTAGATTTGTAAACAATTGCTTGGGCCGTCCAAGAGTTACCTGGAAAGATCTTTCGAATGTTGGGTATGAAGTTCCAGCCATCTTGTCTTCAAAAAATTTGTTATTTTTAATCATGCTTCAAACTTTTTAGTTCCTCTCCATCTAATAAATCTTTTCCTAAAATTCAGTACAGTAGAAATAGATCAGATTTGCATAATTCAACTTTCCTAAAACTCTCTTCAACTTCCCCACCAGAAAAAGTTTGAACTTTGAAGGTTGAGGAGTGGCATTAGATCCAGGAAAAAGTTTGGTTCCTTCCTCTGAAAAGCTGGCTTTTGTTTCTTGTTTTTTCCTTTTCAATTTTCGCACAAGAAAAGGAAATCTTTTCACCTCAGTTCAGCTCTGTCGGATTCCCTAAGAGGAAATCCAGAAAGCCAAATCCATCAGTTTTGGTGAAAGTAGAATGCATTGAACAGGTGGATTAATCCTTTTGATCTCTGATGACAAGTTTAATCTTTTATACTTTCGGGAAGCAAATTGCAACAATTCCTCAGTGTCTTGTACAATAGCTTTAGCATGAAAAGCATAATAAACTGAAGCTGTGTCATTTGCTGCTGATTTCAAGTGTTTCAAGATCATTACACCATTCTCCACTAGTAGACACAGCAGAAAAAATGTTGAATACTGTAAGCCCCTCACAATAGGCTTCTATTGTTTTTCACATTTAAAATCATATGTGCTTGCCCATTAAAAAGCACTTCCAGAAGTAGCTCCATTTTAACAGTTTAAGCTGGTCAAGAAACTTCAGAAGCTCAATGTTTGGCCATATCTTCAATCATTGACTTGGCATGAAATGAGAGAGAGAAAGAGTTACCCTTCCTAGCCTTAGATTTACCATTCATTGAGATTGGTTTAGGAACATTATTGTTCCCCTAAGGTGTATTTGTTTTGCAACAAAGATTCACCAAAGCCATGTAAATCATTGAGAGAATCAATAATAATCTCCACAAGGGACTCCAAATGGATATTTTGGCCTAGCAGCTCCAGAAGAACATCTCAACCTTCGAATCCCCATCTTTTCAAGCAACTTAACAGGAGCTGGATCAGCTTTCTTGTCTATGCCAGCTATTGTTCGTCCACATGAGGCCGGTAAGTGAAAAAACAAGCTCACTAGCAGAAACATTATAAGGTGCATGAACCCTCTAAAAAGGAATTAAAGTTCAGCCTCCTCAGGAACAGAAGCCTGAAAAAACATGGCCCACATAAGTAGTTGCAGTCGGTAAGGACAATGACATCTTGAATAGTTTGGGATACTCTTCTATTAATTGTGGTGTACTTGACTTCAACATCTTTAGAAGATCCAAAAGGCATAAAAAACTAATTACTAGGTCATGCTTTCTTTCATTCTCTCAAGCCACCACAAGTAAGATACATGCACTGAGCAGACAAGAATAGCTCATGAGTTGAGAGATATCTGAATAGGTAATTACCTTCAACATAGAAGATAAAGCACCTCAAGGATTCTAGCATCTCTAGCATGGTACGCAGCTGTAACCCTATGAGGCTGAAGCAACTCATCTTTCCCGTTGTAAAGATCCCGCAAACTTTCACCCAAGAGAGGAAATAAATTGCTTCCAAAGATCATAATCCCTCAGCAGAGGCTGGGATCAAATGAATAGTTGTTCAATGAAGTAGAATCATTTTCTGCTTCAATTCGCTGCCTCAAGGATGCAATCTTTGATTGAAACTTAGGAGTTGCAGGATATAACCATACATCCCCCTAATGCATATCTTTCTCAAAACCAACATGAAAGTCCCTCTTCAAGGTTCAAGAATAGAGATCCCAACTGACCAACACCCACTTGTCATCGGAATAGGTCAAAATTCTATGTAAATCAGTAAAGTTGGTTAAAAGTTTCAGTTCCACTTTCAAATTATCAATCTGTTTATGTGCATCTTTTTCATCTATACCATGAGAAAATGACAAGGTCCTCCACCATTTATCATCTATTATCCAGCTGCTCCACAACAAATCAAAAACGTAACTTTGATTCGTTTTCTGAATAAGCTTCCTAATGTACTGTATAAAAATACCCTGAAGCACAAGAAGCAATAATCCCGCAGAATTAAATGACACACTAGAGCTGAAATCTCATCTTTTTTTCGTCTCAAAAACTCAGAGCACCCATTAATTGCTTTCCACAAAAAAAAAAAAAAAAACCAGAAAAAAAGGAAGAACATATAGCACTAGATGAAACATATAAATACACCAGAAAATCAGTTAAATTTGCACTCTGATATTGTTTGTATAGCTTTTCAAGAACTCAGGGCAGCCCAACTTATATTCTTCAATCGAATCAACCCACAGTTTCTTTTCTGCATAAAGCTTGAAAATCCCACTGATCTTGCAGAGAAATATGGAAATTCTATCATCACTATCATTTCATCAAAATCCAATGGATCTACGTTGGGAAATTAAGATTTCAGAAGGGGGACATAGCAAGAACTTACCCAACTTATATTCTTCAACCTTGGGTCCAATGCAATTGGAGAAGCAGTCCGTCCCAACTTCCAACTTGGCTTCGTTTGAATCGAGAGGAAAGGCGACTTCGAAGTTTTAAATGGATAGAGAAAAAAGCCTGACGCTGATGCTGGACACGTTATCTCTGAAAAGATGGACATGGGCCAGAACGGTCCACGAACTTTTGACGGTACAAATAAGTTGGGCCAACATTAACATACAAAATCAAGGAACCACACCAAGTGATGAGAATGGAAAATTACGTCATGGTTTAAAATATTAGACGAGAAATTTTAAACAAAAACCAAACACTGTTTGCTGAAGGTCCCAAAGCCTTTTCTACAGTAAAAATTAATCCCGACCAAAGAAGAACCAACTGTTATCACCAAATAAAATTAAAATTCTCTTCGACCATCAATATTATGAAAATCCTTTTTTGAAAAACCTTTACCATGGAGTTGTGTGTTTCCCTCTTTCAATTGAACTCACTCCGGCTGAGATTGGCAGAAGGAAAAGTGGTGCAAATCATATGTTTGAGCGGATATCCGTAAATCACAGAGGGAGCCAATTGTGAAATCACAACGGGAGAGTGGCAAAAGTGGTGCACTAATTGAAATTGCAGGTCAATACTGTATAATCCAAGGGTCTACGGTTTCCAAAGGTAAGAATCTTGGTTTTCCCTCTTTTATCCTAACACTGATGTTTACGGTTTAGGGAAACAAATATATTCAGGTTTAGGATTTACGAAAACAAATACAGTACAGATTGAGGGTTTAGGCTGACAAATTAGCTCTGATAGATTGTTTTGTCATTTGTACCAATTGCTATTTACCTTGTACAATTTAGTACAAATTAGTTCTGACAACTTGTTATTATGGTTTACATATTGATTATTATGGTTTATAAATTGTTATTGTTATTAATTAGTTATTATGGTTTGGGGTTTTGCAGCCTCAACAAAGATACACTCAGTTTGAGGGTTTAGGAAAACTAATTTGCTGTGACAGATTGTTATGTTGTTTGTATCAATTGCTATTTACCTTTATACACAACAGTTATTATGGTTTACTATTAGAAAATTGATTTAATTTTTTTTAGACAGATTTCTTAATTTATATGGAAGTAACTAGTTTCCTAATTGGTTTTAGTTACTTAAAGTAGCAACTAAGGAATATCCTATTTTGTTTAGAATTTAGAAATTATTTCCTATTCTGTACAAGTCAAGGAATTAGCATTGATTTCCTGTTGTTATTTGGCTTTTTGGCCAAATAATTGGCCTGTTTGGAACCTGAGTTTTTTGAGAGTTTGTCTAAAACTTTACTGTAGTGCACCGTAAAAGTTTTTGAAAAAATTTTGTAGAAGTTTTTGTAAGTAGAAGTTTTTGTAAGATAAAAAATTTTTTTGTAGAAACTTTTTTGTAAAATGAAAAACTTTTTTTTTCCTTTTCTTTTTTTTTCTCTTTCTCTTTCTTTTTCATTTTCTTTCTTTCCTTTTTCTTTTCTTTCCTCTCTTCTTCTTCTTCTTCTCCCCTTCCCCATTACCTCCGCCTCCCAGCAGCAACGCAGCTTGCTCCACCCCCTACTCCGCCACCGGCCCCACCTCCAGCACCTTCGCAAAGGCCTCCTCCAGCCCCTCCTCCCACGCCTCCACCTGCTCCACCTCTGGCACCACCACCAATGCCTCCACCAGCCCCTCCTACTCTCCCGCCTGCTCCACCCCCAACTCCACCACCAGGCCCACCTCTTGCACCACCACTTGCTCCTCCAGCAGTTGGGAAAGATGATTTCAAAGTCAACGCTGGTTTCCACAGGCCAAACGAGACTTCCATGACACCTTTCCTAGCTCTAGATGTTCAAACTTACCTGCTACAAATACCCCTTCCCTCGACACTTTTTTTTGTATACCTACTACCACTACCAATTTTCAACCGACTTTCTTCAATCCCAATTTTTCTGAAACATAAGAAATCTCCAATTTCAAAAACCCATTTTCAGATCCTAAGTTACTTCCCATGCCATTCCAAGAAAATGCCAGAATCATCCAGCTTCAATTTAGCCATGGCCTGGCAGACCATTTTGTCCACAGTTGGCTCAGTTGCAGCTACAGCAATGGTGCTCCGTTCAGTTGTCCGCGAATTTGTCCCAGCCGAGATGGAAGGGTGATGGGGGAGGAGTGGGGGAAGGGAATTTTTTTTTTTTTTTTAAAAAAAAGGGGTCATACAAACTGGGTAAAGGGAGGGGATGACAGGGGAAGATGGTGGGGAGAGGAAGAAAGGCCAAAAAAAAAAGGGGAAACGGCGCCGAACGTGGTGGTCGGCGATGGAGGTGGTAGTGGGTTGGGATGGGGGAGGAAGAAGAAAAAAAGTGAAGGGAAATGTTTTTTTATATGTTTTGGATATTTTGAAGTGTGTAAGTAAAAAATTTTGAGAAGTTTTTGGGATCCTGTAGCAAAAGTTGTTAAGAAACTAGTAGGTAAAAAACTTGCCTAAAAACCTAACTTCCAAACAAGCCCAATGTTTTCTATAATTAGGTAAGTTGATATATTACAAAAAGATATATAAGGGACACACAAGAGCACACAAGAGCGACATGTAGTTTTATACATGGATTGTAAAAGAGGGTTTTTGAGAGATGAGAGATGGTATACAATGGTTGTATTTGGATTCAAGTTCTATTCTTATACAGAATTTTTTCTTTCATCATAAAGAATGAATTTTCTCTCCGTGGACGTAGACTCAATGGTTGAGGCAAACCACGTTAAATATTATTTGTCATTTATCTTTCATGCTTGTGACTTGTTTGTCATTAATTGATGTATACTTAATATCTCAATAGTCATGTGTTTCGCGTTTAGATCCTAACAAGTAGTATCAGAGTTTGGTTGCAAAACTGGGTTGCTCACAAGCATTTGAATCCCAACAAACTGATATCAGAGCGGGGTTCATAGTTGGATCCTGGTTAACTATTGAGATCAAGTGAGTTGGTGGCTATAACCAATTAAACAATTTAATAGGTGATATTCTTGTTTCAAGAGTTTCGTAAAAAACATTGAAGGTGAAAGATGGAAAGTTGAAAAGCATGGAGATACTTGATGATGAATCTAGACAGGTGGTTCAAGGGTCAAGGAAAAGGTGGAATTCAAATTTTGGATGTGAATCGGTGGAAACTTTCTCACAACTCCAATGGTTGATACTTCATCCCAGATGATTTTTATATTCAAATTATATTCTTTAGGTGGTGTGGCATGTGTCCTAAAGAAAATAAAAGAATCTAATTTTCAAATGCCAGAAAAATCTGATGGCTACAAGTTTTACATTGCGGGTGGAGTCTTGGAAACCACACATGGTGAGACAGTTCTGAGAATGGGAAGAACTATGGTGATTTTATCACTTGGTCGCCTCAATGGTTAGAACTCATAAAAGGGAATCCCAAATTGCAAGTGGTAGTGAGAAGAAATCCTTTTGCATGTCTCTCTCCAACTCTCCCATTATGGGCTTGTAATCTTTTGGAATTTGAATTAGATAGATCCTACAAAAAAGAGGAGGAAAGACTAAAACTACCTTAGTCTAATGATGTGATCAGTCCTATGTGTTTTTATGTTTTCTATGATCATTCATCAGAATGATGTGATCATGCCAAAACCGATACTTATGAGGATTCAGGAATGGAAAATATTAATTCGTTCATGCTGGATTATCTTTAGTGAATTCAACTGACCATGTTACAGTTAAGTCAATTTAACTACAAATTGTACTTGTGTTTGTGTTAATTTGTTGACCTCTGATTTTTGTAGACTTTATCTGATCTCTAATTTCAATTCTATTGACCAGCAATTTGGTCCTCTTACACTTGTATTACTAACTTTATTTGAGCTCTAATTTCTCATGCTTGCAAGGTATTTAATTTGATTAGTCAAATCATTGGGTGACCTGCCATTGTTTGTACTGAACATTTTTTAAGCTATTATTTTTGGATTTTTTATTTCTGGCTTCTTTACTGTGTGATTGCATACCACAGTCAGTTTCTGAAGGATATGTTCAATTTCTTTTATAGTTATATTTTTATCATGTCATTTATTTTTACAATGGTAGATTGAGAATACAATTGTGAAATGTATGAATATTTTTAGGAAAAAAAGAATTTATTTGTAGCATATATAATGGATTAGTTTGTGTGTTAGTATCTCAACTTGTGCATTAGTTTGCATTTTATTTGTTACAAATATAATGATTTCGTTCCTATGATATAGTTTGGAACATTACGTCACAGGATATTGGGGAACCAAGAAGCTGAATCCTAAAGAAGATAAAGGCAATGGGAAGAAGTATGGTGATTTTATCACTTGATCGCGTCTATGGTTAGAACTCATAAAAGGAAATCCCAAATTGCAAGTGGTGGTGAGAAAAAATCTTGCAAAGGGAGATGATGAATTGAAACACTTTCTTACAAGTCAATTGGAGGTTAGATTCGGGGTAACTACACATGTTTATTTGTCAATTGAATCAATTAATGTCATGACTATATTGATTCGAATGTATAGTTCGGTATCATATTATTTGGTAGTTGAAAGCAAATGATTGCTAAAAAAATATTCGCGAAAATAGAGATTTGTTAAGAAATTAATTTAATTTCTTTTAGGCAGGTTTCTTAATTTATGTGAAAGTAACTAGTTTTCTAATTGGTTTTAATTACTTGAAATAGCAACCAAGAAATTTCTCATTTTGTTTAGAATTTAGAAATTATTTCTTATTCTATACAACTCTAAGAATTAGCACTAATTTCCTGTTATTATTTGGTTTTTTGATCAAATAATATATTATCTATAAATAAGTGGGTTGGCATACTACAAAGAAACATACAATGGACACACAAGAGATATACAAGAGCACACAAGGACAACATGTAGCCTTATACACGGGATGTAAGAGAGGGTTCTTGGGAGATGAGAGTTGGTATTTAAGGGTTGTGTTTGGATTTAAGTTGTATTCTTGTGTAGGATTTTTTCTCTCATAATAAAGAACAGATTTTCTTCCATAGACGTACACTCAATGGTTGAGCCGAACCAAATTAAATATTATATGCCGTTTATCTTTCATGTTTATAATTTGTTTGTCATTAAATTATTGTATACTTGATATCTCAATAGTCATGTGTTCCACGCTTGAATCCTAACATTTACAAATTAGTTCTAAGAGATTGTTATTTTGATTTACATATTGGTTATCATGGTTTACAAATTGTTACTGCTATTAATTAGTTATTATGGTTTAGGGTTTTGCAGTCTCAACAAAGATACATTTGGAACGAGGGTTTAGGAAAACTAATTAGCTGTGGCATATTGTTATATTGTTTGTATCAATTGCTATTTATCTTGTACATATTATTTATTATAGTTTACAAATTGTCACTGTGTTTGTACACGCTATTCTGTACTTTGTGCACATTGTACAAGGTAAAGAACAAACCCAAAGCATAGTCATTTAGCTGTGGCTTTTTAGGTACCTAGGAGTTCCTTTGTTAGGGAACTTTAAGAGGTCTGATGTGCATGCTCTTATTCTTCAAATTTGCATTTCGATTTTTGTCTTTGGATTAATATACTACTCAATTTACTATATAAAGTATGGGAATTCAGATCATTTTCATCCCCAGAAGACCATTGATGTGCAGTTGATTAAGTTATTCAGACAAAACTTTTTGCATATCTCTCTCCAACTCTCCCATTATGGGCTTGCAATCTTTTGGAATTTGAATTAGATAGATCCTGCAAAAAAGAGGAGGAAAGACTAAAACTGCCTTAGTCTAATGATGTGAACAGTCCTATGTGTTTTTATGTTTCCTATGGTCATTCATCATAATGATGTGATCATGCCAAAACCGATACTTATGAGGATTCAGGAATGGAAAATATTAATTAGTTCATGCTGGATTATCTTAAGTGAATTCAACTGACCATGTTACAGTTAAGTGAATTTAACTACAAATTGTACTTGTGGTGTGTTAATTTGTTGACCTCTGATTTTTGTAGCAATTTGGTCCTCTTACACTTGTATTACTAACTTTATTTGAGCTCTAATTTCTCATGCTTGCAAGGTATTTAATTTGATTAGTCAAATCATTGGGTGACCTGCCATTGTTTGTATGGAAGGTTTTTAAGCTATTATTTTTGGATTTTTTTATTCTTGGCTTCTTTAATTTGTGATTGCATACCACAGTCAGTTTCTGAAGGATATGTTTAATTTCTTTTATAGTTATATTTTTATCATGTCATTTATTTTTATAATGGTAGATTGAGAATACAATTGTGAAATGTATAAATATTTTTAAGGAAAACAGAATTTATTTGTAGCAAATATAATGGATTAGTTTGTGTTTTAGTATCTCAACTTGTACATTAGTTTGCATTTCATTTGTTACAAATATAATGATTTCGTTCCTATGATATAGTTTGAAACATTACATCACAGGATATTGGAGAACCAAGAAGCTGAATCCTAAAGAAGATAAAGGCAAGCAGCTGCAGGAATACTCTGACAGTAATCCAGTAAAGCCAATTAAGCCACCAATTGATTTCTTTGCCCATAGGTATATGTGCCTTTTCAAAAGGTCTATTGATTATGTTTGAGGTTTTGAATTAGGTAAAATATCATGATTCATCAAATGTATATGTGGCAGGTCTAATCACATTAAATTATGCCAGGATTGTTTTTGCAAGGAAGCAAAAAGCAATAGAAAAGGCATTAACAACGAGGGAGGTGAATATAGTTGCTAGAAAAACGTTAAAAAAACTAAGTGATAAGGAGAAGGTGGTAAGGAAGAATGATGCCTCCAA